TGCTTACTCTTTTGGTAATAAAAAACAATAAATCAAGAGCCCTTTTCCATCCACTGCTGTGTGAAGGCCTCCTCACGCTGTGTCAGTCATAGGGCTAATTTGACCATACTCCACCATGCTGATCGGTGCAGGTTGTTGGAAGGGGTATCCAGGAGAAGTTCAGACATTATTTGACAATGACTGGCATTAGCCATGGCCAGGAATTGAGGTCATGTCACTGGGTCCATAACACAGTGCTGCCTCCCTTCTCACCTGCCACTGCCACCACCGCCTCCCAGCAACTTCTGCAAATAGCCAATAAGGCTACACAGGGAATCGTATGTTTGTGCTTATGCATGTGTAGTGATGTTAAATAGATCACTACGGCACGAAGAGCCAAGTGTCGTAGAAATGGGCGCAGAGGCTAACACACCGTGCAGTACCATTCAGCGGGCCACTAGGGGCATGGGTACTGGGTGCTTGCAGAAGGAAGCCAGATGATTCCCACCGACACAATAGGGGATAACAGCCTCCGCCAGGGCCGCAGGTAATCGCCACAGAGTCGGTCACTGGGGGAGTGTGGTGGTGGGGGCGACTGGCGGTAGGGGAGGGCATGTGAGGACGAGTCACCCCGGCACCGGGTTAAGCACGTGATGGTCCGGGGTGAGGAGTGTGGGCCAAGAGTGAACGCGGGGACACGGGAAGAGTAGCTGAGAAACGTCTGGAGAGTTCCCGAAGGGGGCGTGGTTAAGGGCGGAGCCAGAGAGAGAACAGGTGCGGTGTCGCCTGGAACTGTCGCGGCCGGGGGTGGAGCTCCGATCACGTATCGGGGCTGTCTGCAGGTGAAGAGGAACTCAAGTGCTACGTCTTCGTCTCCGTCTTCGACATTGTGGGTCAGACAAGCACGTTGGCTGCTCTGACCCGGTTACAGCTATCCCGTATGCGAGAGGAATAGGTGTATTATGGTCCCGTGTGTCACAAGAGTGAGAGATGGGTGTATTTAGTCCCGTGAGTAACCGTGTTGCGTAAATGTAAAATAAACGTTGTTGCCTCCTAAATAGTGTCTCTGAACGACTCACTGCACACGTGTGAATGAGCAGTCGTGTCGCGGTTAGTGCTCTGCACTACGAACCCAGCGACCAGAATTCAATTACTGCTCACGGCCAACACCAGTGACGAATATCTGAACCGGTCCTGGGCCTCCCCTAGGTCGACTCAGCCTCAAACTAGTCCCTGGTGGGGTGTGTAAACATTGCCACTAGCGAGACAAAGGCGGTCGGGCGTGGTGCTGACCACCCACCCCTCGTGTGCCGTGCTGGCCTTCGAAGGTTCTCACTAACAGCACGTACCTGAACAGTGTGTTAAGTCTATACGGGGATCTTTGTCTTTATATACATTCTTGATTTGAAGCTTTCGTGACTGCAGGAATCCATACTCTTTGGTTCTTTTGGTAAAGTCACGTAGGTAGAAAATAAAATAAATCACGACGTTTCGATCGCAACACAAGTGGTCGTCCTCAGGCGGAAAAAATATAATCCAGCAGTGGAACTGCTGAACCAGCGAGAGAACTGTTACAACAAGGTTGTTATATATGTGGTGATGGGCAAACAGGCGGGGTCTGAGCTGGAAAGGAATTCCAGGTAAAGTCTTAACTGACTGTGATGTTTGCATCCTACCTGCCTATGTCAGCTGTTATTTCTGACTCTCTCTATGCCTCTCTCTTAGATCTCTCAAATGTCCTTTGGATTGCCCTCTCATGCTCACATGTCCTTTGGATTGCACTCTCATGCTCACATGCCCTTTGAATTACACTCTCATGCTCACATGTCCTTTGGATTGCACCTCTCATGCTCACATGCCTTGTGGATTGCACTCTCATGTTCACGTCCTTTGGATTGCACTCTCATGGTGCTAATCTCTCATTAACACTGCTGTTGTGCGCATATGCGGGAATGATACTCTTATGCGGCGATGGAAGCTCATTCATGCTAATCCCCCTCCCTAATCTCTCTCCCGAATCTCCCCTATTCACAAAACTGACGTGCTTACGTCCGTGGATGGAATTCCTTTCCAGCTCAGACCCCGCTTGCTTGCCCATCGCCACATATATAACAACCTTGTTGTAGCTGTTCTCTCGCTGGTTCAGCAGTTCCACTGCTGGATTATATTTTTTTCCGTCTGAGGATGACCGCTTGTGTTGCGATCGAAACGTCGTGATTTATTTTACTTTATATACATGTGGATATATTTACGTGTGCATTCATGCACGTCTTTGTATGTAAATGTGTTCATGAGTATGTGAGTGTTTTTTGTTTCTGATGGACAACAAAAATTGGAGGAGGTAAACTGGCGCTGTGAGTAAGCTGGCTGATGTGCGATCTGCCGAAAAGGTGTGGCAAACGACCCAAAGGCTAAGATCAGGCAAAGCGCCCGGCAGAGATGATCTAACAAGCGAACTGCTGAGTGTGGGTGGAGATTGTGTGCAGGACATTTTACACACCACCATTACTTCTGCCTGGATCGCAGGATGGGTTCTTCAGGATTTGAAGGATGCCTTGTTAGTGCCCCTTTAATCAATGTGGTCCCTCTTTTGAAGAAGGAAGACTGCATTAATTGTGTAATGACAGTCACGTCAGCCTGCAGTGCAAATTTACTAGTGGCCACGGAAGGTAATGACAGGCGAGTCAGCCTACAGTATGAAGGGACTGGTTGCTATGGAAATTATCGAGAATAGGAGTGTGGTCAGGTGACGGAAGAGGACAGCGGAGTCTGCTGGTAGAGCGAGAGGTCTAGACCCAGTGAGAAGGTTCGGGAATGGAGGCGTGGCCTCGGACCGTATATAAGGGAGATGCGCGGGAGACTTGGGGCTGTTGCAGCGCGGTCTCCGCCTGTCCGAGTGTGAGCACGTGGCTCCTTACTAAAGGAACCATCTCAAGACAAGCGCGTTGAAGTCGTCATTACAATCTGCCGGCGAACATCCTGGCAAAAAACTTCAGCATCGGTTTCTAAGGACACTGCCCCATGGACCATGCACCAAATATCTGATAACTGGACAGGACGCACGGCAGTGGCTAGTGGTTTCAAAACTTGCTTTGTGTCTCTCTGAGCTTGCCACAGCCTTCACCGCATGATGGGTGTGGTGCATATAACGCCTACAATCCATAATTTTGGATGCCTGGGTTGATGGCTAACGTGGAGATGTAGGAGACTTCAAACCCATTTGCCTGCATGATGGCCAGTAAACGACAGTGCAACAATGGAGAGCTGAATCTTAAAAAAAAAAATTAAGATTCAGTGTGGCTTTCTTGGGAATACTACCTCCACTGTCATCTTCATCTTCACCATTGTTATCATTAGCAACAGAAGCAATATCAGCAAAAGCAACAAATGTCATGACAAGATTATCATCATCTGCAGAAGCATCTATTTATCATTTACATCACTATCATCAATATAACTGCTTGGCCCAAGCTATAAGTGTTATGATACTTGCATTGTCTTTGTACTGTTTGCCTTTTGGCGTTTTCTGTTCTAACACTGGTGAGACAAGGCCATAAATAAGGCTGTCTCTTGTGTAGGCCAATCAGTTTCACGGACAATGCATATATATTGTCATAGCATGTTTGTTTAAAAGTGTTTTCCACAAGTATGTGTGGTTAATACAGACTTGATGCCTGGCTAAAGGTATTTATTTTGGTGTTTGAACATCTTAACACCTGTTTTATTTTAAAAAAGGATCAAACCTATTCTTATTTTTACTATCGTCATTATTATTATTATTATTATCTCAATCATTATCTGCAACATTATTTTATCATGATCATATTTGTCTTCATCATCACTGTCATCTTCATGTGAATATGATCATCAAAAACCTGCTCTATAGTTTCTGTATGAATGGAAAAATAAACTTGCGGAATGGAGGCCCCTGCACAAACCAGGCCTCCAAATCGTGATTAACTGCAATTTTGCATGGACAAAAACATTTTACGCAATTAATTAAGCTCGTTGTAATTACTGGCAAAACATCGTACTCAAATTGTAAATGTTGTGACTTTGCTCTCCAACACACCGGTGTGCTGTATTAGAAACAAATTGGCATGTTCTGTTTACGTGACAAACCTTATTAATTGGCTGCGTCGGGTGGTGGTGGGTTTAACGACACATTTATTTACACGGTCTAACCCAAAAAAACCTATTATGGATTTCCACAATTGTTGGCTTTGCCGATAAACCTTGTAGATGTTGGGCCATTGTGCAATTGTCTCATGAGTAGAAGTGGAATGGTTGGTTCCATTATTACGTAGAATCGGATGGAACAGGAATTGCCAAATGCAAATGTTTCCAATGGTATGCTGAATTGGCATTTATTCCTCCAATAACTGGTAGAATGACAGCCAGAATAACATAGCTACATGAATCAAGCCCTTGGTGTCACAGGAACAATAACACAGAAAAGGACACAAAATCCATGCTAACAAGAACAAATATTCACTCATCATTTTTGATTGTATACTTTCAATATGTAATTTCACATGTCATACCATACCAGATTCCCATTTGTGTTTAAATGTAAGTATTTTCTTATGGTCTGCGGTAGAGCATGGCATTTTGCACACGCAGACACATAATTACAATGCACAGACACATATCTCTGTGCATTGTAATTGTCTGCAGAGCACACTTATGCCACAGGATGGCTTGCAGCCTTTTTTGTAGACATCGTATGTATAGTAATAATAAAACATAAGTACATGCATAACATGAAACAACACTGCAAGGGCAATGATTAACAGCACACAACCCCTAATTGAGTGTTCATAGAAGCAGACGTTTGTTGTGAAAATAGCTCAGCCAACTGCATACTAGGCATGCCCATTCCAGCTGCTGCATCCTCGGTGAATTTGTAAACACAATGAGTTGTGTGTGTCGATGCGTGAGACTGCCGATTACTCAAATACATGCAAGTTTCCCTGCATCTTTTCGAATTACAGACCCCATCGGAGAGCACTCGTATTTACCGTTGCTCGGCTGAGGGCCAGGCGGACTTTATCCACGTCAGAGATGGGGCACCAGATCTCAGCGATGAGGCACTTCTGGGTGACATCCATGTTGCACAGGTTGAGTGTGTGGTAAATGGCCTTCATCTTGTGAACTCGCACGAGCCACGAGGGAAGGCTGCCGGCGGTTGCCTCCAGCACGCGCCGCCTGTGGCCCTCCGTCTCGCCCATGACCTGAGCAGCACACGCAGCAGTCCAGGGAGCTAGGGTTACCAGGTGTTCCGGTTTTCTCAGGATTATCCTTTTTTTGAGATGGCTGTCCTTGGACATCTGTAAGTCTTCCCGGTACGTTAAAAGTCCTGGCTTTTTTCATTTTCGCAATTGTAATAATAAATAACAGTAATATACCAATGAAGACGATGTATTTACATGTGTATATCTCCTCTTTTCTGACATGGCGATAATTTATTCTTCGCATGATATGTCCCGGTTTGTGTACCTCAGAGTTGACAACCACTACAGACGGCCTTGCTAAAATGTGCACTGGGACGAGACAAGCTGAGTGAATATGTAAGCGAGTATCCAAAAGATTCTTAATAAAAGCATGGACTTCGCTGAGAGTGGTGTACAATCACAGGTTGAAAACAATCTCACCACAGTTCATGTTACCACTGTCTTATAACTAAAAAGTATCGATCGTGATCTTGTTTTGTTCGGGCTGCCCTTTTTGCCCGGACAGTTGTAATGACACTATAAGGTGTGCTAACGATTATAAGTTATTTTCATTTATTTTATTTTACCTACGTGACTTTACCAAAAAAACCAAAGAGCATGAAGCCTTGCAGTCACGAAAGCTTCAAATCTAGAATTATATAACGACTGTTATAGTTCTTTAAATGGTTACATTGTGTTTTCAATGAAATAAAGTTAGATTTTTTTATAGTCCACAATTGCATACATTAATACATTTTAAACTTAGAAAAACCTGCTTTATTTTGGATAATGTGAGGAAACTAATTGATGTCGTATGCTGAAATCATTGATGTAATTTACATTACAATTACAAAATAAGCCCTGCGTTCCATACAAATGCGATATCATTCAAAATCAAAACCACATGGGATGCTGCAAGGAAATATCTGGCATGTGATGTCAATTATTAAAGAAACAGGAAGAAGGGCTGAATGATAATGACATAATAAATGTCAAGAATTTTGTTGTGACAATCTTGAATAATCTGCAATTACTATAACATCGGGGACAATAAATGTCATTCGCAAAAAATATATATAAAAAGCCAAAACATCTGTGGTTTTAGCTTTTTAAAAATTTTCTGAAACTATTTTCTGAAAAGTTTAAAACAACTATGCTCGGTCAAAAAAATAAACAAAAATATTATCCGATAAATCTTGAAAATCTTGGAACTCTCATCGTGGTTAACATTATAACTTAAGGTAAATCGTCTAGATAAAGGCAAGACGATGGATTGATGGCCAGATAGCAGTAATTAAGCCGTTAAGCCCTCCTTTGGATGCCACTTTAAAATAGATTTTGGAATTTGGTACTATAATTGGTTGTCTTGATAATTAAGCTATTTTATCGTGAGAAAAGCTTGTTATAAGCATTCAAGTATAAAATAAGCATTAACCATCCACTTTATGTATGGTTTATGAGAATGTGAAAGATTAGATAAGTAAGCCAAATGTAAATTTTTTATCCAAAAAAATGGTTCGTGATATGCTTGAGACTAGTCTGACATGGGAGCAAATCTATCCATTGAATAACAGAGGGAAAAATATTCTATACATCACAACCACAATGTAAATAAAGTAACACGTAGAGTGTATATCTTTTTTCGCAAATAAACATGGACATATCTATGGGACCCTTTCACCAGTATCAAGATATTATGTATATAGCATGGAATTCAATACACATGTACAGTGAGGGAAAAAAGTATTTGATCCCCTGCTGATTTTGTACGTTTGCTGACTGACAAAGAAATGATCAGTCTAACATTTTAATGGTAGGTTTATTTGAACAGTGAGAGACAGAATAACAACAAAAAAATCCAGAAAAACGCATGTCAAAAATGTTATGAATTGATTTGCATTTTAATGAGGGAAATAAGTATTTGACCCCTCTGCAAAACATGACAGTACTTGGTGGCAAAACTCTTGTTGGCAATCACAGAGGTCAGACGTTTCTTGTAGTTGGCTACCAGGTTTGCACATATCTCAGGAGAGATTTTGTCCCACTCCTCTTTGCAGATCTCCAAGTCATTAAGGTTTCGAGGCTGATGTTAGGCAACTCGAACCTTCAGCTCCCTCCACAGATTTTCTATGGGATTAAGGTCTGGAGACTGGCTAGGCCACTCCAGGACCTTAATGTGCCTCTTCTTGAGCCACTCCTTTGTTGCCTTGGTCGTGTGTTTTGGGTCATTGTCATGCTGGAATACCCATCCACGACCCATTTTCAATGCCCTGGCTGAGGGAAGGAGGTTCTCACCCAAGATTTGACGGTACATGGCCCCGTCCATCGTCCCTTTGATGCGGTGAAGTTGTCCAACAGAAAAACACCCCCAAAGCATAATGTTTCCACCTCCATGTTTGACGGTGGGGGTGGTGTTCTTGGGGTCATAGGCAGCATTCCTCCTCCTCCAAACACGGTGAATTGAGTTGATGCCAAAGAGCTCCATTTTGGTCTCATCTGACCACAACACTTTCACCCAGTTGTCCTCTGAATCATTCAGATGCTGATTGGCAAACTTCAGACGGGCATGTATATGTCCTTCCTTGAGCAGGGGGACCTTGCGGGCGCTGCAGGATTTAAGTCCTTCACGGCGTAGTGTGTTACCAATTGTTTTCTTGGTGACTATGGTCCCAGCTGCCTTGAGATCATTGACAAGATTCTCCCGTGTAGTTCTGGGCTGATTCCTCACCGTTCTCATGATCATTGCGATTCCACGAGGTGAGATCTTGCATGGAGCCCCAGGCCGAGGGAGATTGACAGTTCTTTTGTGTTTCTTCCATTTGCGAATAATCGCACCAACTGTTGTCACCTTCTCACCAAGCTGCTTGGGAATGGTCCTGTAGCCCATTCCAGCCTTGTGTAGGTCTACAATCTTGTCCCTGACATCCTTGGAGAGCTCTTTGGTCTTGGCCATGGTGGAGAGTTTGGAATCTGATTGATTGATTCTGTGGACAGGTGTCTTTTATTAGGAGCACTCCCTTTAAGAGTGTGCTCCTAATCTCAGCTCGTTACCTGTATAAAAGACACCTGGGAGCCAGAAATCTTTCTGATTGAGAGGGGGTAAAATACGTATTTCCCTTATTAAATTGCAAATCAATTTATAACATTTTCGACATGTGTTTTTCTGGATTTTGTTATTGTTATTGTCTCTCACTGTTCAAATAAACCTACCATTAAAATTATAGACTGATCATTTCTTTGTCAGTGGGCAAACGTACAAAATCAGCAGGGGATCAAATACTTTTTTTCCCTCACTGTACATGATTAGCACTTTTTAGAATACTGAATATCATTGCATACTCGAAACCATGAGCCAGACCCCCAAACCCACCATTTGGGTGGGAAAATTAGCCCATACATTTTCTGAAAGCTCAGAACCTCTACGTTCTGGAAATGTCTGGTAGATTTGCGAAAAATGTTCCTTGGCAGTGAGAATTGTGTTGCCACGGAATTGTGTTGCCACGACTCATTTGTTTCTGAAGTATACCAAAAACATTAAATTGAATATTTCAGTATTTATTAAGACTATAGATATATGTTTAATTTATTTCACACCGTACATAGCCAACCGTGCTAATCGGAGATGTGATGTAAGTGTGCAATATGTATGTGTTATGATAATAGTTAGTCATTGGTATGTATTGACCCCATCTGCGCAGAGAATCCTTCATTTTGGAGATGATCATACAACTCAGGATGTTCCATTTCCAACCACATCATTTGTGTGTATTACATATGTCATCAGGGTATTATGACTCTTATCGTCACAAGATGAAGATGTCAGTGACCTTTTCTGGATGCTTGAATAAGCCCAATAATTACCTCAGCCATATCAATGTTATTCATCCAGAAGGTTGATAGAACAAATTCCCATTTTCACACCTCAAGAGTTGTTCAGGTACATATTGAACAGCTGGGGTATCTTAAAAAATGGATGGATGGCTGATGGGACAGCTCAACTACAGAGGCTTCTCCAGCAGCCTTCACCATACCTATAAGCAATGTGTAAACATATATTTGTATATATTTAACTTTACGCTTGGCTGTAGCCAATAAGATTGGACTGCAGAGGCCATATTCATAGCAAGTGTTATTAAACGTATATGTACCTGTGTTTTTTTATCATATACCGTACATATAATTTATAACCCGTCAAACCTTTAATTAAATGTTGTTTGATATACCTCTAAAAAGCAGGAGGCAGTTGCCATGGTAACACAGATTTCACCACAAACCGACATTTTCCTAAGTTCCATAAAGTACAGGGTCTGAGCTTTCAAAAATGTATAAGGGAATTTGCTCACCCAAATGGTACCAAGGGGTCAGTTTTAATGATCTGGCTCGTGGTATATCATTTAATGCAGAGGCCAAAACAGAAGGGAAATATGCTCATACAGAATAACAATAAGCTCCCCAGTTTACCGAACTGTGTGATGAATGTAAGCGGTGTATTTTCAGCCAGGATATAAAGCTAAGTATAGCAGTATAATTTAAAACAGGGCAGAATTTAGATATCATTTTGCTCATGTTCATTTGCTCATTTATACACCAACACGTGGATGGCAGGTGGCCCCTATACCAGATCCTTTGCATTTTTTTTAGTCAAGACAGAGGTATGAGGAATATCTGAATAATTATTACAATACTTTGGCCAAATGTAATGAATGTGGCTGTTGTTTTAAACAAAGGGAGATGTGAAACACATGACCTATATAATACACTGCTGATATCTATATTTGTATGGACATATCATTGTCTGGAGAACTCCTTCTAGACTGTTCCACCAATTGCAGTTAATAAGGTGTCATTTGGAAGCTCATGATATGTAATTTATATGAACGAGGCCAAAATAATGAAATATTTTTAAAAATCACCCCAAAAATGTGGCTTATCGGCCCATATTAAACAATATTTCGGCACATGGAATAATATATGCAGCTCCATTTTAAAAACATACAACAACAGGCGTGTGCCATTAGGGAGGGTGTGTGGTGGCGGCAGTGGAGGAGGATGGTTAGGTATTTTTTCAATCTTAACAGGTTTCCCACCATATTGTATGAACTGGTGAGTGGTAAGGGTCAGGTGAGTTTATGAGTGGTGGATGTCTGACAATAGTCATGTGAGTGCGATGTCACCCTGTCCATAGGATGGGCTGCCCACAAGTATATACTCGATAAGCACTGCTAAATTGAGCAGCTAATGCCCTCCACGAGCACTGGTCTACATTGGCTGTTGTTGGGTACAGCTGTGTGGGACAGAAAATGTACTGTGTTGATTCTCACAACATTATACTCGCATGATATATTCTCAATCCACAGAGCCACCTTCCAGACATTCTGGAATAATCGTGTAAAAATAACATTTTCAGAACACAATGATACATATTCATAACGTTTAGGGCATTGTAAAAGAGTGCTGCGTGGTACATGATGCTGTGTTCACTTAAAAAGTAAAAGGAATCGGTGAAACATGGAGTATGCCCAGTTACGGCCTGTGTCCTCTGCTCTTCTGTGCCCCCTGCTCCCTGTGCAGCACTCACGGAATTGAGGTCGTCGAGGCGCGTGCCAACTCCAGCCACCATCTGACTGCGCTCCTCGAGAGACCCCGGGCACGGGTACAGGGTCGCGCGGAACCTAGTCGTGGGTCGTAGGAGATATGAAATACCATGATATATTATATTAATATATCATGGTATTTCATGATTGGTTAGTGTCGGTGTAATTGATATTTTGTGGTGATGTTGGATGAATGATCCCTTATGATAACAACCGTTCTAGAGATGTTAATGCAATAACGAAAATTTTCCAATGCAGACATTTTTTACAAGATAAGAATTGACACTGACCCATCGTTTAATGCAAGCATTTAAATATTGCCATGACACTTAAGACGCTTATCATGCAAATTATCTGAACAAAGTAGTCACGAAAACCAGCTCACCCTTCACAGATTTTGATGGCACGACCTTTCAGCTGCTCCCCTTGGTAAAAGAGGATGAAGACAGATTTCTGCATTTCGTCCCCCTGCACCACACAGTGTCCGTATCAGCAACAGAAACACGTCAGGCCATGTACCATTGTAAAGTTAAAAAGCCCCCGATATTTCCACCCAGCCAACAACAGGGCTCGAGGCTCCGTACCACCACAATCGGCCAATGAGCATACCACAGTTGAGCACGGTACACATGGCAAATATCATTGAGCATTTCCAGATGACGTAGGCATGTCACAATAGCATCATACGCTCACATGGGGCAAAGTTATGACAAACGTTTAGTACAATGCAACACAACTTGAAGCGCCAAGTTATGAATGGGGTGAGTGGGGGGGGGGGGGAAATACGACAATTAGCCAAAATAAAATGTGTTTCATTAAAATAAACCTTTATCACCAATGTTCCTGCAAGCATTCATGCTAACTTTAGTCTCGCTTTATGCATCCATCACAGCAGGTCTGATACAAACAAACATGCGAAGGAAAAAATGTGTAACTCAACATTGTACAGAGCATTACAGATGCCTGCATGCGCCATTAGCTTCTAAAACCCTCGAAGGAATCACTGATGAAGTCCCCATCCAGCAATGGACAACTCCCCCAACTGCCATGCACACTACAGTTAAATCACTGGAAGATTTGTGATGCTGTATAACAATGACATTGATGGGCCATTTCCTGGTATGTATTCTTGTGAATAATGTGGCTTGGTAAGTATCATTGTCTAAGGATATTAATTATACATTTGCCACTACTCTCCTACACTCCACAAATGTTTATGAAATAATGGTTTACAAAATTAAATATCGGTATCAGAAATGCTTATACTGTATATTAATGCGTACCTGCAAGCCACTCTAGAGGACTTTAGGATCACAGGGGCACGTTGCAAAAACAGTGTTTTGCTGAGAAGCAATACTGTTATGCCCTTTCATAATGCTAACATTGGGCATATTACAATTAATCGATTAAAATACAATTTTAAACATTTAGATTTATTATCATTAAGCTTACTTAACGAGGAAAGCATCACTGATTCTCTAGAATATTCTATACATCACGACCAATGTTCACAGTAGTGGATGATCTTGCTTTGTGTAATCCCAATTGAGTAGATCTTTTTTTTGTGGATATTTAATTTTTACATTGGGTTGTATGGCCAATACTAGTTACATTGCATGCTATTTTAGCTATGGGAGTAAACCCATGGAGAACAGTGGGAGAACGTGAAAACTTCTGGCGTCACACAGAAAGATACCCATGTCGGGAATCGAACCCAGGCCCCTCTTGCTGTGAGCCACAAGTGTTACCACTGCACTACCCTTTCACCCAGATCAAACTGTACATGTAAAAATCTATTTGTAAAAATTTATTTTATTTCTAAGTGATATAAATAAGTATGTATGTGATCATTTCGTGAAAACCTTGAAGCCACTATCGTAGAAGCATCACAAACGGCATCAAAATGATTAAATCATGATCTCCGAATCGTCACAAATAATTTTATTGTGAAGATAGTGAATAGTTAAGAGTTTAGGTGAGAGCTGGATAATAAACCCCACCCAAAATGATACAGCCAAACACTATCTAGGAGGGCAACCGAATACAATTTGGAGAGAGCACTACTTTTTCTAAAGCATGTATACCCCATATATATTTCATGCCGTATTAATCAAGCAATGCCATAACACTTTTTTTTATATACATTGTTAAGTTACCAGCACTATGCAATGGGGTGCCAGCAGCAATGCTTCCATACTGAACACGATTGTGCCTCTAATGGGAACACAATTATATTGCATTGATAGCTTAGTACAAATTATGAACATGCGAGCCACACGAAGCCGCTATTTGCTTTAAGCATTGGATGAAATAATCTGCGAGGTGGAGAAACACATTTTCGATGGAACCATTTAAGGTGTTAGTCCATTTATGAAACATGTCATACGAGTACAATGCATTATAAATATACGTATTTACATTGGACCATTGTTGACGAATAGACACTATTTAAGGTGCAGCCAGTATTTTCTAAATACAAAGGTGTGGCTCTGTATCTTTGGAATGTGCTAGAAGTTAAATTTTACGTGACTTATCTGACATTGCATATAAGAAAAATAAATTACTTAGGTCGATGGTACAACGCTGCAATCTTACTAAAAAGGACTGTTTTTCATGAAAACAAGGTGTTTTGTACAGTTGCGTTATATTTCAGTGAACGCAATAGTAAGAACAAAAATGAAACTATCCATTTCCAAGTATAAGTGCAAATGAAATAAATATCGAATGAAACAACAATAGGCTGATATTCACAAATGTACAATGTCCATTAGTGATTTGCTAATTAGTAGTTCAATCTTATATTTCAGTCAAGGTTGCCTTTGGAAGAACACACATAGATCAATACCGTCACTGCCTACAGGCATAGCCATTAACTGCACAAGTGCATTAAACACATTCATGAGGTCTGCAATGGTATTCTTAAAGCAGCTATTGGAACAAATTATTCCATTTGAAATGGAGTTTTGTGGGTCAAGAAGTTGTTTTGTTGAGCTAGGAAAGAATGCACCTAGAGGGGCTTGATCAGGTTATCGTGGTCGGGTATCAAGACGAGTGGGAGGTGCACAACAGGACATCTGTTTCCCTGCGCATGTGGAGGAGGCTGCGGTGGCTGGGTATGGGGGTGGAGTGAGGGGGGAGATGCTGGGAGAGGGTTTAGGTAAACTCCTTACAGTGACGGGGTCTTCCAGTTGCTCATCAATATCGGCGTAACGCAGGAACACGTTCCCGCGACAAACCCGCCACAGCATTCTCTCAAACATCGGGATCTTCTCCCGCCCGATCACGCCTGTGAGGAACCTGCACAGGAGTCACGGTTGTGCTGTGAATTCTCAGGATATAAAATAATATGAGGCCATTGTTATAGGGTTGCGTGTGCTACATCATGACAATACAATACAATTGCCAGTTCAAGGACAATGTGTGTCTCGTGAGGATTCTCAGAATGGTTTTTCGTGCATATTTTGAATTAAATTATTGAGTGCCATGGAAAAGGTGAGGTCAAAAAAACAGATCTACCTCAAGCGCAATGGTTTTCGTAATTGATCACGATAAGTGAATTATTTCAGAATGATCAAAGTTGCCTCCACCCTAAAGGAGTTGTGAGTGCAACGGATTTATTATGGCTCCTTGGTGCAGGGCTGAGGCTGTTGGTTAGTTTGACAAACACATCTTTGGGAGAAAAAAACTATCACCGTTTGTTTAAAAACACGACTGTACTTGTGATGCTCTATCAAACAGGAATGTGGAACGTGAACGTGATATACACACACAAATATGCATGCAAGCACAGACGCCCAAAAACATTCACACTTCTTCTAGATTTGAAGTGTTTCGTGACTGCAATGATCCATAATCTTTGGTTATTTCGGTAAAGTCGCGTGACTTTACCGAAAGAACCAAAGAGTATTCACACTTCTTTTCTAGAAACATGGCATACGCATGGTGTGCTTATATTCTTAAGCAGTGGAAAATATATTTTCAGAATAATTATAAATATAGCCCTTTGTCAATACACTGTTCAATGGAGATGTCCTCGTGCTGTATCAGTTATATTGTTTGACTATACTTAACCATGGTCAGTGTGGGTTGGTAAAGAAGAGACGTCCAGAACCATTTCAGGCATCATTCACCGATGATGTTAGCTATTTTCAGGAATCAAACCCAAGTAGCCAAGTTCAGAGTGCAGTGGGCAAACTGCTGTACCACTATTTCAACCATGCCTTCATATGTATACTACTGATAAGATTAAATCTGAGATTAATGTTTGAAATGTTAGGACTGTAAAAAATAAGGAACTGTTAGATAGGGCTTGATATTGATTCCTTCATATAAACTAAGCTGCCTAAGTCAAGTGGGAAGAGTGGTTACCATGGCTACATCATTTTTCAGATTTTTGGGGCATGTTCCAGTTATTTTCCAGCTGTATGACATCACTCACACGGGCCCAGAGCCTATATGTCAGATAAGCCCCACTGGCAGTGATGACACACACAAGCTAGCATTTAATCGCCAGCAAATTCCTCGTGACAGTGAGGTCATCAAGGAAGATGGAAAGTTTCTTAACATCGAGGTGCCTAAGATTAAGTCTGTGACAAAAGAATGAGAAATTGACATGACAGAAGATTAATCTTTAATATTGACCCTGTTGGTTACTGCAAGCATAATTGGAGATTGTGTCAAATGTTATTTTTAAACCATTTAAAATGGAGTTATGGCACGTCGAATCAAGATAACAAGAAAATAATTGATTTTCTCAGTTTCAAAAATACATTTTAAATGTAAAAATAAACTCCAATAAAAAACTATAAAAATTTCCATTTTGTTAATCTTTGTTAATCTTCATTTATTTTATCAATGTCATTCATACACTGTTGGTGCTATTTATTCGTGTTATCCTTGCTCATGTTTATGCATATTTTTTTGTAATGAAGTGCAATTCAATTTGTAACTAACTTTCTTCTTAAACGGTTTGCTAACTACCGTAAACACAGGATTTTTCTTTCCTTTAAAGGAACATAACTTTTACACTTAGCATTTTAATCAATCGGCATTCATCATACTGATTACCATTCACAGTTTCAGCAATGTCTGGTTGGCGGTTCATTAATTAAATCAATATATTCGTGTATTCCTTTATATAGATGTATTATGGATCATTCATATTAATCATTCATATTTTGCATGATTCGTTTTAACAGTTGATTTGTGCGTCAGTGTTCAATAGAAGATGCAAAGCATTCGCATAGAACATCAAGAAAACATCAATCTCCGGACACATTTTGCACGCTGTTATGGACAGGGTGAACCACTGCAAACACCCATGGGTCTCTGCAAAAAATGTTACAGTACACGTTACCAGTTCACTTGAGGACACTAAATTGAAGGTGGCCAATGCTCAAAGGGAAACTTCGCAACATGTGCAAAGACACATCAGCAGCAGTGGTCTGAAGGGCGAATACAACTCTCACGAGAACGACGTTGATTTACCCGCAGTGCGAGCTCGGCTCCCCCGGAGCTAACCGCAAGCAGGCGCAGGGCCCGCATGATGAACGCTCATGGGACTTCGTTGCGGTGTGTGCCTGTGCAGCCAGAGTAAAGCCAACTCCGCGCGGCATTTAAAATCGGGAGTCGCGAAGGATAAATGAAAGATGGACCCATATATATGCAACTTCGTCATCAAAAGACGGTGAACATCATCATGTAATGTTGTGTGAATGTAGTATCAATATACAGTACACAGCACCATATGCTTTGTATTGTTTTCCTACAAAGGGGAGGGAAATGTGTTTGGTCACCTCTATTTGAGCATGCGTGTGTATATTGTGTATGTTGTGCCAGTACTGTGTTCGAGAGAGGAGTGCTCTGGTTTGGAATGGTTTGTAAAACTGAGTTACAATCTTGACAACCTAAGCTGCATTCCAGACTGCATGCACGTGTGATTGGCATTCCTTATCCGAACTTAGCCTGGATCTCCCCTGGGTCAGATCAGCTTAAAAATAGTACTTGGAGCGGTTTTGAAAAAAAGTATTGGGAGGCCGAAGACAAGAGGGCATGGTTCTTGCCACACCACCCTCTCTCACATATTGCACAGTTCTTGACGGGATCTTGTGAACGGCACCTGCCTCCTATGGTTTATATCATAATTCTAAATGAGGATTTTTGGTCTGTGTGTGTGATTGGTTGATGGGGCTTTTAATTGAGCAGTTTATGAAGGCATCGACAGCTTAAGAGAATGTGATGAATGATGGTGGGGATGGTCTACCCATGGCATAGCTGAGGAACAGAATAAAATATATGTAATTATATTATTCAAGGCATCTTTGCATCTAGCTGTGCACACATATAAATGGCTCTTTAATGAATGGAAAACAAGTGACATGTGGTTGCTGTTTATAAGGGGGTTGCGAGGTTTAATTGTGTATGAATGTGCTTAATGCTACTGTATTAACACTTATTTTGATTTGATTTGAGAGAAGTCAGTGTTTTGGTTGACAGAAATCCCTCTGCAGGTGATCTGTATTCAATGGTAATTATTGCACGTATCTAACAAAACAAAAATCCCTCGTATAGCCTTTTAATAGCCCATTGGGGCAAGAGCTGTTAGCGAGCACCTTTGAAGGCCAGCATGGCACACGAGGGGGTGGGTGGCCAGCACCACTCCCGGCCGCCTTTGTCTCCCCAGTGGCGATGTTTACATATTGTTACTCATTTGATGTTGAGTTGACCTAGAGGATACCCAGAACCGGTTCAGATAATCGTCACAAGTATTGGCTATGAGCAGGATTCGAACTCGGGTCAATACACTTCCACTCCCCTCACGTGTGTATGCACATACATGTTAAGTTGAAACATTAATTATGGCACGTCATTCCAAGCATTCCCTGAAATAGAATATTTATAGTTAATTATACGAAGATATTAAAATTAAACTTAAAAAAAGGTATTTAACAGATCACAACTGAAGCAAAATTATTACATTAAACATGGAGCCAATGTATATTCACAACCTAATTAAAAAAAGTGAATGCAGCACGATGTCCTTAATTAGCACTGTAAAATGCACTGCTACAGTAATCCTAAACCTGTTATGCTTTACATGAGCATGACAAGCGGCTGCTTTAACACTTCCGATTTTGACTTACAGCCAAGCAATAATATTGGCCACTTAAAGCGATGTATTCCGTACACACTAGGAGAAGGAAAGGAGAAGGGATGTAAAGTGTGTGTATTAAAGATGCACTTGAATTGCTCATTATGTTGGTGCTCAGCCTAGTGCACGGTAGCGCTCGTTTCATCATGAAATATTATTCCCAAGAATACAACTGTAAATCCTTCAAAAGAGCATTAAAAAAAATAATTCCCCAGATTATAATGTAGTTAAATATTTGAAAGCTACTCTAGTCTTTTTTAATATTTGTATAAACCCCATTATGGGAGAAAGGGAGGCATCTACAACTTGTTACTAAGACCCAACCGTAACAAAAACACAATGACAGGCTTTAAACAAAGGGTTTTACCTATCCAACATTATAAATATGTCTATATGTTCTTTGGTAAAATGCTGCTAATTATAGTGTACTTCAGGTTATTCTCCACATTTCATGTGTTAAATAATTTAATAGCACAATAGATCATTAGACCTCCTTTGCCAGTACCAAAATATAATAATAGGGTTTTTTCCCTTTTTTCTGGCAACAAAACTGAAACCTTTTTACGAGGATTCATGTCTGCAGTAACCACAATACCTGCAGTCAAAATGCAAACAAAACACATACTATGATAATATATGCATTGTCCTTGAAACTGATTGGTCCACACCAAGGGACGGCTTTCTTTTGAGCCTCGACCCAATTGGTTTCAGTTCTGTTGCCGGAAAAAAGGGGAAAAACCCTATTATTATATTTTGGTACTGGCAAAGGAGGTCTAATGATGTAGATGCTCACCCCAAGCCCTCATTACTTTGATAGTGCATTGACTCTGAGCTGTACGCCTTTTGGCGTCATCTGGTCGAGCCCCAATTGGGTCGAGGCTCAAAAGAAAGCCGTCCCATGGTGTGGACCAATCAGTTTCAAGGACAATGCATATATTATCATAGTATGTGTTTTGTTTGCATTTTGACTGCAGGTATTGTGGTTAATGCAGACATGAATCCTTGTAAAAAGGTTTCAGTTTTGTTGCCAGAAAAAAGGGGAAAAACTCTATTATTAGCACAATAGATGCTATATTCTAGGCTTTGGTTTTGTTTGAATACACAACCCTTTCGGGTGTTTTTACAAAATTGGAACCATATCTTGACCTAAAGCTTTCGTGACTGCAGGAATTCATATTCTTGGGTCTTTCGGTAAAGAAAATAGCAAAATAACAAAAAACTATAACACAAGCGTGTGTTGCGATTGAAACGTCGTAGTTTTTTGTTATTTTCTTTGAACCTATCTACGTGACTTTACTGAAAGACCCAAGAATAGGAACCATATCTTATACAAAAATGTGTGCACATCACTGTACTTTGAACTAAAAATACAGCACACATAATTGTGTTTTTAAATTATATCCTTCCATATCCTATTGAAAAATAAATCTATACAATAAAAAAATACCACCAATGCGTGAATGGTAGTTAATTTTACAAAGTCTATTAATCTAAATTCAAATTTCACGGCACATATTGCAAAGAAAATAAATGATAGGTTTTTCCATAATTCATCGATTCTCCATTTCAAATGAAATCCAATGTGGCATATTCAGCATGATTTGCTGTTATATCCACAGGACCCACAGAAAGGGGAATTAGAGATTGCTTTTATAAGTAAAAGCACTGGAATGTTGACTGCACTGAAAGGGCATTGTGGTAACTGTTTTGATGCTCTAGCAATACTCTTCAAACGCACACTCTCGTCATCCACCAGGCCTGAATAGCGCCAGCCACACAATGTAAGGATGGCACCAACTATTATACAACGAATGTGCATCAGTTCTGGCCCTGTCGTGTGTTGATGTGCATTGCATGGTTGCGTTACCCCAGCTCTCTGTTGCCCAGAGCTATGTCCATTGGCTCGAAGCTTTCCATGTTCTCGTACTTGTGCTCCACCTCCGGCCTCTGTTGGGATTGCACAAACGTTACTTGACAAAATTGCAGAGCTGTACTTACACCACAGACACATGCGCAAGTGTAGAATGCACATTTACCAAGCTGTCTCTCCCACACTCTAAAAGACGAAGACAAAGATCACCCATATAGCCTTAACAAACCGTTGGGGCAAGTGCTGTTAGCGAGCACCTCTGAAGGCCGTCACGGCACACAAGGGGGTGGGTGGCCAACACCACGCCCGGCCGCCTTTGTCTCCCTGGTGGCGATGTTTACACACCGCACCAGGTACTCATTTGAGGCTGAGTTAACTTAGAGGAGGCCCAGGACCGGTTCAGATAATCGTCACTGGTGTCGATTCTGGTCACACACATTCACACACAAAGAGGAACAACGATCCCCCGTAGACTGTTGGGACAAGTGCTGTCATGTGGTGTAAATTTAAATGGTGACGTGGCATACAATGGGGTGGTGTGACCAACACTGATCCCAGCCACATGCCTCCCTCACCGTTGGTAATAATGTTTACACAATACATCAGGTACTCATGTAAGGCTGAGTCGACCTTGGGTAGACACAGAAACAGTTCAGAAACCGCTGGTGTCAGCTGAAATCAGGAATCAAATTCAGGTCACTGGGTTCATAGTACAGAGTCTTAACCAATGCGCTAGCGCTCCCTACACATATATGCACGCACACGCAGAGGCGGAGCCAGGATTTTCAGGTAGGGGGGGTTACCCCTCCAACAATGAAAAATGATAGGAGTTGTTAGTAAGTAAGGACTTATCCCTTGCTTTTTATTCAACGCGTGTGCGGCGATGGCGCATGGCCTGAAAGTATGACATGATTTGATCATTCGTCACTGTCGCAGCAATTTCCTTCTCGACATACAGCAGCATGGCGTCATTGAGGTAGTCGGAGCCCATTGCAGTGCGCAAACGCGTCTTGATGATTTTCAGGACGCTGTAGACGCGCTCGGCAGTGGCTGTCGCCACCGACAACGCCAGTATCAACCGCAGCAATCGGCATACAAGCTGGTAGCCGGCCGTGGCCCAGCCGGTCTGCACCAGCATGACCGAAAGTTCAGGGAGCGTGCCCACATTCTTCAATAGCTCGTCCTTCTCTATCTCCCTGCCAAAGTGGACCAGCTGCTGATCGAGAAGCATTAGGTCGACGTCAGGAAAGTCGATCATGTAGAACTTGCGGGCCAGCTCCACGAGCTTGTCGACATTGAACGAGGCGAACTGCTTGCGTGGAGAAATACATGCTGCTAGGCGGAGCATCTCCATCGACTCAGTGTTGAATCTGTAGGCGAACTCGGCCAGCATCTTGTCGATTGCTGCGTAGAACAGGTCGACACGGAAAACATGATCGTTGGTGTTCATGTGCCCATTGCGACAAGGCCGGCCAAGTTGGACGAAGTTGGCGGTCATATTGGGCACCTCAATCTTGTGGGACTCACAGAACTGCTGCACCTTATGGAGCAGGTCGTCATAGCCGGTAACGTGCATCTCTGTCAGCGCTACGACAACGCCATCAACCAACCGCAACGCATTGATGATGTCCTGGTCCTTCGTTTGCAGCGCCTGCAACAGGGCATGCGTGATAAGCAGCATCTTGTCCATTAGGTGCAAGATGAATGCAAACTTGAACGTGCACGTGCCGTCGAGCAGGCGTGTCGCCTCTAACCGCTGCTCCGACTTGCTGCCGTCCGTCTCCACATGCTGGATGACTTGCACTGTCGCGCCGAACATGTCATGCCAGAACGACGGCCAGCGCGTGTCGCCTGGGCGCACCAATGCCGTCTCCTGGTTCAGACCACGGCCCGTCTCCACCAGCAGCTCGTTGATCATCTCCAGCACGATCTTCTTCTGCGTGTTGATGAGATCGTCGTTGCGCTTGCAGGAGCTCGTTGCCACATTGATGATGTCATTGACCAATGCGAAGAACAGGCCGATGTCGGGGACACCATCCATGCAAGCAGCAGCCAGCGCAAGTTGGAGCCCAGCAGTGCCCGTAATGAGCCAATTCGTTCAGCTGCTTGATCAGGGCTTGCAGGCCATTGATCTCGCCACTCATATTGGACGCGCCATCGTAGGCCTGCCCGTGGCAGTTGGCGATCGGGCGACCGCGGTTGGTCTGCATGTCGACAATGGAATCGCGGAGCGTGGGGGCGCACGTGTCGGTGCCGTGCTTCAGGTCGACGAGACGCTCGCGCAGCACGCCAGTCTTGATCTCAACGAAGCGGTTAACGACGGCCAGTTGCTCCTTCTTGCTCGCATCGTGCGCCTCGTCCGCCACGATGCAGTAGAAGGCATCGGATTGTTCATCATCGAGGAGCTTTCGGACGATCTGGGCATGGGCGTGGATGATGTCCTTCTGGATGTCGGGACTAGTCATGGTGGCGTTCTACGGGGCGTTGTCGAGCGCGACGCGGGCCAGCTCGACATCGCGTTTGCACAGGAACTGAAGCAGCTTGAGGAAGTTGCCGCGGTTGAGCGACTCGTCCGACTCATTGTGGCCCCGGCAGGCCAGCCCCTGCTTCATCAGGAATTGAATTGCATCAACTGATCCCTCCAACTGAGTCCGATTGTCGGCAATCGCCTAGGCCGTCTGCTTCTCCAGGCCATGCTTGCCCGTGATGATGTGCATCTCCATGTTCATCATGTCTCTGGCCTTCTGTACCGCCTGGTTGTGGAGTGACTGCACGCCACCTCGATGTTGGAGAAGGCAGCAATTGTGGCCACCCACCTTATTCCAGGCCGAGAACGCGTCCGAGACAAACGCGTCTGAGCAATTGCGGGATGGGAAGAGGAAGCACGGGAAGCAGTAGACCGACTCGGTGTGGAACGAGTATTCGAGCCAATCGTACGTCTCAAACCACGATGGCTGCGGGCGGGGCTTTTTTCGCCCCATCATCTTTGATGGGTACATGCTGCCATCCGACGAACGGAGGAGTGGAACGAACCGGTCCTGTATCAGGTACGAACGACGGATCTCATTGAGACTATTCGGATCGTACGTCAAAATTGCGGGTCTCATCCCGGGATCCCGATCGACGATGCGCACCCCTACGGACAATGGCGCTGGAGGCGGGGAGTTGGCTAGCTTTTCTGCTTCCGATTCATCAGCTGCCGCCGTTGAAGACGAAGGGTCAGGAGATCGCGAACAGTGACGCTGAGCTGGAAGACGTTCTGACAAACGATTCGCCGGGCGTTTATGCAGCCATCGACCGAGGGTCGGCATCGCGCTCGCTGAAGGTATGCCTTCAGGGAAGTCGTGTACTGTATACGCAACTGCGCACAATTCTGTGAGTCACTTATAACTGCTTTGCCGTTACTTATTGCCAATTATGGACTCAGACTATTGTCCTATCATCTCATAGAGTCCCTGGCACGTAATGACATGCTACAGAGTGGCAGTGGGGGTCGCAAAATGCCGATTTATTGCTAAAAAACCGCAATGATCCGATCGAAATTAGGGATTTCGATCGGATCATTTGGGGGGCACGTGCCACCCCCCCACCACTGGCTCCGCCACTGCACACACGCATGTTGGCTCACATGTAAACGTGTTTAAATTTATATTTGGCTTCATAAACTGTTGGAGCAAGTGCTGTTAGTGAGCACAGACTACAAGGCAACGGTGGAGGAGGCATCATGCCTCATCACTTTTGTTCCCCATTGTCGTGGAAGCATCAGTATTTAAGCACTAAAATTATGTTAGTCCATATCGTTGCAATTTTTAGTTTGAGCCAACAATAATAATAATTGATTCTATGCCTAGGAAAGCTTCCCTGTGTCTCAATACTTTTTTGCAGGAGGATTTTGCAATGGGAATTATTTTTCCATTCTATTAACGAGTGTTTGGCATGTTGAAGAATCTGGATCATCCATATAAAATCCACACAAACGTATGTATTGAGAGGGACACTCAATGCGACCATCCCTGGCTGGCTACCTTGCAGCCCCAGCCCACAGCACTCGGTAATCCTAGGCAGTCTCCCATCCAAGAACTAACCAGGCTCAACCCCAAATAGCTTCTGAGATCTGACAAAACCAGCATGCATTCGCAATTATTTTCTTGTGGGCAAGTGATCTGTAATACCATCGTTTAATGTGGTGCTAACTTTTTTTTATGAGGTTTTCATTGATGTATTTCTATACATGTTTGTTTTGTTAACCATTCATTTGTATATGTTGAATTATTCTTATTGCCTTATTTAATGCGACTTTATCATTTCAAATTGTGTAAACTAATGGCAACAGTAAACCCAGAGAAAACTTACACTGAGCAATTACGGATGGCTCTTTTAATGTCAGTCTGATTCACTGAAGCTGGCCAATCAGTTACACCGTAATGGATATCAATAACAGCTCTCCTACTCAGAATGGATGGCACTGAGCCCATGTAACATGGACATGTAAATTATGAAATCTTCCAAATCAATGCAATGGACTATCCCTACTCAAACAAATGAGATTGGCTGATTACACTAATGGCCTTTAATCTTCAGATGCGTTTGTGATAGTGAAAGTGTTATTTGTGTTTAAAGTAACTGCTCCCCCCCTTTCACATTACTGAGAAATGGAAGCAACATTTTCTTGCCAAAAATACAATGGGACTGCCCCGCTGGCAGACATCATAGGATTTTCCATAATAGCATTGACAAAAAAAAGATAGACCATTTCCAGAAATAATGAAATTCTGAACAACGGACCATATGCTATTGTGTTTTGCATCCGAGAAGTACACTATTCATATTCACATGAATGTATTTTTTTTATTTTAAGTTATAAAATTAAATGATAACGTTTTTTGTCATTTTTTTATGTGGTAACAAGGCATGTCTAATGATAACCTGCTCATCTTAATTCAAGCAGCTTTATCTGCATTATTTTAGCTGTTGGTATGCAGTCAACTATTTCAATTTCAGGGAACGTTCTAAACAGTACATTCTTTATATTTAATTTCAAAGACTCAAAGTGGAAGATGATTTCATCATTAGACCT